CACTGGGTGAGAAAGAAGCACAAGATTATCCTGGTACATCTAGCTAGCCAGACAGTAAGGACATGCTCAGAAAAATGATGGAGGCAAACAATGTCAAGAAGACACAAAAGAAGCCAGGCACCGGTGGCTCATGCCTGTAATCCTAGCTACTCAGGAGGCAGAGATCAAGAAGATGGCAGTTGAAAGCCAGCCCCAAGCAAATAGTTCCAGAGACCCTATCTCAAAAAATCCCTACACAAAAAAGGGATCGATGAGTGGCTCAAGTATTAAGAGAGCCTGCCTAACAAGCATGAGGCCCCTGAGTTCAAACCTCAGTGCTGCCAAAAACCAAAACAAAGATACAAAAGGGTGTCTTCTTCTGAGTCTGGTGGCTCACACTTGTAATTCCAGCTACTTGAGAAGCTGAGGTTGGGAGACTCCAGCCTGGGGGAAAAAAAAAGTTAGTGAAACCCCCATCTCAACCAATAAAAGTTGAGTGTGGTGGCACACCTGTCATCCCAGCTTCAGAGGAAGCACAAATGGAGTAGCAGTCTGGGCAGGTCTGGGCATAAATACAAGACTCCATCTGAAAAATAAAACAAAAAGGGACTGGGGGCATGGTTCAAGTGGTAGAGTGCTTGTCTGGAAACCACAAGGCCCTGAGTTCAAACCACAGTACTGCCAAAAAATAAGGGGGACACAAAAGTCAGTTTGAAGTAGTTCCTACTGCCCAAATCTGGGGCAGCTTGAGTATCAAAATAAATAGTAGAATGGCTTATAATCCTTTGACTAAAATACAATCGATGAGTTGTGGTCAGAAAAGAAAATGTTTTGTAAGGAAGGAGATATTTACAAAGTCTCAAAGTATGAAGAAAACAAGTAACTTTACAATGGAAAAATGTGGCAGTTACCATCGCAATCAAGTGATCAAAGTGACCAGTAATGGACAAAGTGAAATCATATGCACCAAACCGGATGGGATGAGAAGAGCCCATTGAGCCTGTCATATTTTGGCTAAGACAGACAATCTGAATCAGTCATGAGGAACTGATAAAACAAAACTGAATGGCGTTCTAAGAGATCCTGTACCTTCGATTATCAAGGTTGTGATAGTCAAGGAAACATACAGGGACTGTTTCAGGTCAAAGGAGACTGCAATAACCTGTGACTCTGAACTTGATCCTTTTGCTAAAACACACATGAAGACAAATGGCAAAATTTGAATTAAGCCTGTGAATTAGATGGTAGTAATGATTTTACTTTGTTACTGTGGTTATGTAGGATAAAGTTCTATTTTTCTTCCTTTGCAGTGCTGGGGATTGAAGCCAGGCATGCTGGCAAGTGCTCTACCACTGAGGTATCCTCCCACACACAACATTCTTGTTAGGTATTATGGGTACCATGTCTGCAACTTACTCTCCAATCGTGTAGGAAAAGAAATTCTTTGTATTATACTTATAACTTTGTGAGATTGTTTCCAAACAAAATAATTCTTAAAATCTTCTAATGTTCATCATATAATTATTTCCTATAGACAAAATTAAAATTTTTCTCATAATATTTTGCTCATCAAAACCTAAATCTTACTTTGCTAATTGATTTATTAAAGAATGGTAGAGCATGAAGCCTAGTGTGATGGTGCATGCCCATAATCTCAATACCTAGGAGGGTGAGGCAGGAGCATTGTGAGTTTGAGGCCAACCTGGGCCATGGCGTGAGACCGTCTCAAAAAAAAAGATAATGAAAAAGAATAGCAAAGCAGACTTTATTCAAGAGGGCCTACTGCAATGGGGTTTTGTAGCAGGGGAGAGATGGGGGCACCTCCCTACCGCTCACATTTAAAAAAACCATAACTTATCAAGTGTGTGGTATGCAGTAAACATTATAGGAAGCAGTTTTTGTGTGTCCTGGCAACAGTGCCAGTCCTGCACTCACTTAAGGTCATGTTTCCAGTATTGAGCGGAAATTCTAAAGCATGAACTCCAGTGCTGTTATACCTTCTACTACCCCTAAGGAAAGAGTGTTACTTAATATATACTTTATTTAAAAAAAATTTTATTGGGATATACTCCTGTCCATTTGCTTTTATGCTGCTGTTTCCTGGTAAGGAGCTGGGGCCACGGCTGGGATGAAGATTTTCAATTTCTGTATCATGTATGTAGATACCTATTATGTCACTTATTCAGGAGTAAGATTTATACCCATCTTCCAGATGCAGAAGCTAAGGCTCAGCTAGGGTAAGTACTAGGGTAATGCGGATGGTACTTGAGGTGTCTTGGGCTAAAGCCAGCACTTATTAGAACATGATTTTAGGGATAAGAAAGGAAGGAATAGTTTGAAAGACATTTGATAGCAGGATCAGCAAAAAGGTACTGAAGTGGGGGAAAGGAGAAAGAGGAGAACAGAATCCACTATGACTGGATGGCTAGTTCTGCCGACAGTCAGGCAGTTGCAATGTCTAGAACCCTACCTAAAAAAAAAAAAATAGCAAGAAAGGAGGCATGGCTCAAGTGGGAAAGCACCTGCCTGGCAAGTGTGAGGCTCAGAGCTCAAACAGCAGTACCACCAAAAAAAATTTAATAAAAATAAATTTTATTTATTTAGTTTTCTCTCCCTACTCACATTACAAACACCTAGGAACAATTTAGTTTGGAAGCCTCTTGCGCCCGTCAACAGAAAGCATGCAATAAACATTGATTTGCAGTGTGATAAGAAGCGAGGCCCTTGGTCTCTCCATGTCAACTTTCCCAAGTATTTGCTCTACAAGATTGCTCAGTTCCTGTCTAGTCCTAGCAGCTGTGAGTTCACAATTTTACTATCTCCAGCTTCTCTGCCCCAGGGTAAAAATGTGAAAGGAAAGGTTAGGGAGCCTATGACAGTCACCTCAATATTATCCTCAGTGCCCCCTTGTGGCCATATCTTGGAATCACAGGTAGATCATGGAAATGATAATCAGTCTGAAACAGCAAACCCCGCCTGCCACGGAAGGGCAAAGGGCCTTCTGGTAAGACGTTCCAATTCCCTCTCCCAAGGTAAAAAGTCCCAGCATCCTCCTGCAGCTCCCCAGGCACAGCTTGAGATCAGAGTTGGCCTCTGCTCTGGGGTTTGGAACCCAGCTCTGATCGATGTTCTCATTAAGCAGAGATTGCTGAGTTCCCTAATACATAGGCCTTCACAATTCACAAAATTCATGGTTGAGAATAATGACCTCCCTTTGTGGGGTGAGCCCTGTTAGGGTTAGGGCTTGATCTGAAACCAGAGACTGAGGTTACAACCCATTGTAGGGTCAGCCTAAGGCTGGAGGCTCGGGGTGGGTGTGGGCCTGAGCCTCTCATCAGAAAAGAGGCCTTACCTTCACCCTAAGAGAAATGGTTGACCCTCTGACCTGAGCTCTCCTTCCTAAGGCCTGTCCGGTGCCACAGAAGCCAGCTTCTGCTGACCCCTCCAGAGCACCTCCTCACAAGCTGGGCGCAGTGAAACATGCTTGTTTCTAGCACTCAGGAGGCTGAGGCATGAGAATACATAGTTAAGTTCCCGACCAGCTACATGGTAAGACCCTGCCTCAAAGCAAACAAGTAAAAATCCCAAACCCTCCAGGACTTCCTCTCAATGCTGTGCCCTCCTGGCCACCTAACAATTCTCTGAAGAAATCAAGCCTGGATGCAGTGGCTCACACGTACGGCCCTAGCTACTTGAGAGTCAGAGACAAGAAGGATAGTTGCTCAAGGCAAGCCCAGGCAAAAAGTCCACAAGACCCCATCTCAACCAGTAAAAAGATGGGCATGTCGTTCTTGCCTGTTATCCCAGCCACACAGAAAGCATAAATAGGAGGATGGTAGTCCAGACCCGCCCAGACATAAAATTTGAAAATAAAGGAAAAACAGGCTGAGTGCTAGGAAGTGCCTGCCTGGCAAGAGCAAGGCCCTAAGTTCAAACTCCATTACCACCAAAAAAAATAAAAAGAAAGAAACCAAAGCCCTGTTCAAGCCAAGCCCCACAGACTCCTCCTCCACTACCACTTGGTCTTTCAAATCAGCAATACTGCCTCCCCAACCTTTGCACCTGCTGCTCTGCCTGCCCTCCTTCCTGGCAAACTTCCAGCTGCTCTTCAAGGCCCAGCTCAGGCATTACCTCCCCAAAGTCTCTGCAGCCCATTCACAGCTTGTAACACAGAGGAGCTGTCCCTGAGGTGGATGAATGGCAAAGATAGGCCAAGGGCAGGCATTGTGGGCAGCAAGGAGATTGGAAGCCACTGGTCTCAGTTGGGAAGGGTTCCCAGTTTAGTACTTTAGGTGCTTAGTACTCATAAGACACAGAAAAGTAGTGTCTTGTGAGACCTTGTAACCACGAGGTTACCTCTTTGGTATAGCTGAGGTCAGGGGCAGGGAATACCATTTGGGCAGCCTATATGGACTTTTCTAGCCCAACTCTGCAGAGACATTCCAGCTGGACAAGTAGCCCTTTGACACAGACGGTGGGCCCTTGAGAAGCAGCAACCCATGGCTCTTGCCTCCTGGCATTCACCCTCCTCTCAAGTGTGAGTTGGACATGGAGCATCTAAAAAGATGGCAAAAGGAATAAGACATCACTCCAAAGATCAGGTTACAAAGGGCTGTGGCTCACACACTCTTCCTGCATACTAGCACTTCTCATCAGCTCTAAAAAAGCCAGCCTCCATGCTGTGAGCCACTCCGTGGAAAGGCTTATGTGTCAAGGAACTGAAAATGGCCTCTGGTTAACAGCCACCACCCCCATGAGGAAACTGGGGAGTGGGTCCTCCCTCACTCAGCTGACACCTGGATGGCAGCCTTGGCAGAGAACCAAAGGACAGGACCTAGCAAAGCCTCAATTCCTGACTCAGGACTGTGAGAGCACATGTTTGAAGCCACTAAGCTTTGATGTCATTTGTCACACAGCAGTAAATAACTGGAACACCAGAGGGTCCAGCAGGCAGCACAGTGGAGGCCATGGTCTTCCCTGGCCATGCCCACGTGCAGATACAGCCCCAGCAACGACTCATGGAGGGTTTCTCGTTTCTGTTTATTTGTCTAAGAAAATACAAAAGTCAGACATGGTACAGTGATCTCATGGAGAGAAAACAGAATACACAGGGAGGGGCTGGGTTTCCTCCCTGGCCCAACACCCTCAGAAAGGCACACACATAAGGCTTGGGTTCAGGGGCCTCCTGTCCTGGACCCAGTGTGCTGAGCAGGAGGCTAGACTCCTCTGTGAACAGAAGGACCCTTCCTCACACCAGATGGGGTATGACTCAGGTGAGCCATATGTGGGGTATAATTTAGCTGAGGCTGCTGGAAAGATATGCTCCCTATCAAAGCTGAGCTGGACTGAGCAAAACCAGTCACTCCACCAGCACTCAGTGGCTGAATAACCCAAAAAATGATACCTCTGTGACAGCCCTGTTCCCAGCAGATTATCACAGGAAGCCAGGCTAGACTCAGATTGGAAAGACTCAGGGGAGGGGGTGGTGGAGGAAATAGTGTGAAAAGGCAAAGAGAAGACTAAAGCTGGAGCATTCCAGATGCTCCCAAAGCCCTCCCCAAATGTGGCAACTGTGCCCTTAATGTCCTCCCCTCAGCAAGAGGGATCAGTCTGACAGCACGCAAAGGGTAGTGGGAATGGAGGTGTTTGTGTTACAGTGGCCTTTGTCTGTCATCCCTGGGGCAAAGAGTAGATCTCTAACTGTCCTGAATCACTAAGGGCTGTCCGTCCTGTAGTTAGCCAGGGCCAAGTTTTCTCTGTCATTCTGGAAAGAGCAGAAGAAATGGCCCTATGTGTGAACCACCACCTAGAATAGGACAGGACACACTGGAAGTGAAAGAGCTTGAAATACTGACTTCTTCCTTCTTAAAAAACACCTAACATTGTAATGGTTTAACAAATTATAATTTCCTTTAAATAACCCACAGACACCCATGACACTTCCAGATTTACAGAACAAAAAGCACTTGAGAACTCAGTAGAAAACGATTTGCCGCTGGTTCCTTCCAGGAGCTGGCCCCTCAGGGCTAGATCAGTTCACCTCCAGGACCTCAGTCTCCAGGAGACCAAACTTGGTCTTGTGCTTGTCAAAGAGCTTCACCAGGGCCTCCACATACATGGTGTGGTACAGGTCAATGTCCTGCTGGGTAGGATGCTCCAGCTTGGGGATGGTGATGGGCTCTCCCACTGCAGGAAGAAGCAGAGGCACCTGGTCAGTCAATGCCATTGGGTGTCCCCTTCCCAAAGGTCCAGCGTGATGCTTATGGCAGTGATCCTGTGCTATGTGTGAACCATGTGCCAGGGACTATGGGTTCACCTCAGACTGTCCCCTTTCAGAGATGAGAATACTGAGGCCCAGAAGCATGGGAAGCAACCTGCTCAAGGCCATACAGCCACTGAGCAGCAAATGAAATCAACCCATTGAACTCTGGCTAGAAGTTTCTGTGAGAGGCATGGCATCAAGTGAACAGCTTTGCTTTTGATGTGCTCTGGGCAACTGTGTTGTATTTCTAAATCTCAGTTTCCTCATCTACCACCTGGGGAATCTTCCTTGTAAGACTTTCTTAGGATTCTGAAAAGAGTGGGACATGATTTGAGCAGAGTGGTAAGGGTGGGAGAGAGAGGGGTCCTACTTTACCTCCAAACCCAGCTCATCCCAAAGTCCTGCCAGTACTACTTTCTAAGATTTCTCCCTGATCCATGCCTTCTCTTCCTTCCATCTCCACTGCCACTCCCTCAGTCCAAGCCACTGGCTACCAAGAAAGCCTGGGGACTTGTTTTGTGGCTTCCTGCTTTGCTCACCGGAACTGTTTCTATTCAGCAGGAGGCACTTTAAAAGGCTAATCTGAACCTGCCCGTTGTGCCAGCCAGCAGCTTTCTGCCCTCAAGGTGAGGAGCTAAGGCCTTCTCACTGCCCTCAGGACCTGTCCCCTCTTCAGCCACATCCACAAGGGAGGTGCTCCTGCTTCCTGGACTCTGTCTAAAAGCAAACACCTGCCTCTGATAACGGGTGACTATCTGTGTGAGCTTTGGCCCTTCAAGCACACCCAGTGCTCAGGGCCACATGCTCCCATGAGATCTTGGCTTGTGATCTTTAATCCATGGCCCCCCACCACACATACAACGTACACTAATGCCCACAAAAGTCAATTCTCTGAAATCCTCTTAACTTGTCCCAAAGACACCCAAACCAACACCGTTTTTTGCTACACTTCTCACAGGTCTATGCTCTAGCTGTTTTGACTTTTTTCTTTCTGTTCATGAAAAATCTATACAATCTTGCTTCTGGAACTTCCCCTAGGCCTTTCTTTCTGACAGCAACTCTCTTCTCCTCTTGCTGGTTAACTCCTAGCAACTGGCAGTGTAAGAGTCATCTCCTCAGTAGGGTCCACTGTGACACCTAGAGCCCCACACAGCTCCCATCACATCACCCCATAGTCTTTGCTGTAAAATAGTCATTACTTACAGGCTAGTGGGCACTGTGAACCTACCTCTGGATCTTTTCTCACCTGCTACAGTGCCTGGCTCATGGTGATGCCTACCTACTTACTCCCACTAGCACCCATGGCCATCAGAGCCAGTTGGCCTGCCCTGAGATCCCACCATGGTGTGCAGACTGGGGACTTACCAACAGTGGTGATGGGCTTAGAGTAGGGTACCAGCCCCCAGGTGTCAGAGGAGAAGAGGCCTCGGCCATGGAAGATGCATGGGGCAAAGCCAATGTACTTCTGAAACTTCTTCTGGACCCATCGGCCCCAGGAGCCCTCCTCGAAGATCACCTGCTTGTATACCTCATTCTCCCCAAAGGAGTAAGTGGGAACCAGGTCAGCTCTGCAAGGGAGAGGCCAGGGTCCATCACACTCCAGTCACTGGCTTTGGATCCTTCTGTTATGCTAGTAGCTCTGGACACCAGCCAAGCTGCCCCCTGCCTCCTGAGATAGACCAGAACCACATGTCTCTCACCCCTAATCTAATAGGTCCTCTACCCATGTGCTAGGAACTAAGAGGACATGGAGGGTAGAGCACCTGCTCTGGAATACCTGTTCTTACCCTCATCCATTGGTGCCAGCCTCTGCTGGGAAGGCCTCCCTGTCCCTGCCCATCCCACACTACTCTCAACCCTGGAGTCACCCCATGTCAAAGCCTCAGAATACTGCATTGTCACTGTCTGCCCATCTTCCATCCCTGCCATTGGTGAAGGCAAAGACTAGGTCTTATTAGAGTGTCACAAGGGCTGGGCTCTGCAGAGCAGCCTCTTTTGAAGCCTGAGGTATGGTTCAGAGAGACAGTATGGGACAGAGAGGAGGGCTGCCCTCCCCTGGCCACACTTCAGGATATGTGGGACCTCTATGTCATGGCCTGGTGTCCTCTACTAATTTGTATGACCACAGGTCACACCTTTCCTGCTTTGGCCTATGCTGGCGGCCCGTCACCCCAGGACCCTATTTCAAGGTTGCCTAGAGCCCAGATCTGGAGGAAGGCAGTGGATGTGGATAGCAAACAGCTTGGTTCTGCACCTGACAGCCTTACTCGGTCCTCTTCGGTGGGAAATGGGGTCTCAGTCTCCTTACCTGCTGGGCTGCTGGGGAACCAAACAGGACCATGGCACTGGATGTGTTGTCGAACAGAATGGACTGCACAGGAGCAACTGGACTGAGCCCCTGGCTTTCTAGAAAGGGTCACAGAGATCCAAGCTGCCAGTTCCTCTCTTGTCCTCATGGTCACCCTCCAACAAGCTTTCCCTGATGCTTCTAGCCATGCCATCTCCTTCCTGGCCTCTTGCTCTCCTAGCAGCATGACATATTTTGGCTACAGGTGATTAAGTCCTTTTTGTTTTTCCTTGAGGCTAGGGATGGAGCTCAAGGCCTCACACACTACTAAACACTCACTCTACCACTAAGCCACACCCCAGAGCCCTCAGGTGATAAGTCTCCACACATCCTACATGAGCCTGGCCACCCAGTCTACCTGTAAGGGCCCAGGGGACACAGGCCACATCTTTTCCCCAGCTACACTTGGGTAAACTTGGTCCGAATTATACACTCCAGACTCCAACCTTCCTTCCCCTTCTTTGCCTTCCTGGGATCTGGACCTTCTCTCCAGGAACCTGCTGTCTGGGCTAAGGAAAGCACTGAACAGGTGTGTACATGTGCGTGTGCACGTAAGCACTCACCCATGGCGCAGGGCGAGTTTCACAAAGCCTTTGCGGTTCCGCAGGGTGACTGCATTCTTGCCAGGCATGGAGCTCAGGGACTCAGCGGCGCCCCCCACTACGATGATGATGGCATTGCCACTCCCATTCTTTGAAAGCAAGTAGTCTATGGTGTCCCGGTTGACAGGACAGATGCCTGGGGGTGGGGACATATAATCAGGACTGCATGGGGTACACACTACTCCCTGCACAGTCAAGGGGGAAACAGAAAACCCTGTACTCGAACCCCAAACCTAACTCACCCACTTAGAAGCTATTTGTCCCTGTGCTATTCATTTCTCTGAGCCTTGGCTTACTTATCTGCAAAGTGGGGAGAAGGATACAAAGTTTGGGGAACTCAATTCAGCAAACATTCCCTGGGGTCCTAACTCTGCCAGGCTGGGTACTGGGGATCTTAATGAGTCAGGGTGGTGGGGATCATGACAGGTGGATAAATGATAGGTGGCATGGATGATGATCAGGATGTACAATAAGGCTGGGGTACTCAGAAAAGCGAGTCAGAGAAGGCATCCTAGGAAGGTGTCAGTCAAGATGCATCCTGAAGACCCTATGAACAGCACCTCTGACCTAGTGAGTCCAGCAGCTTGCACCTCCCTGCATGGGGCCAGCACCCAGTGGGCATTGTGTGTTGGTTCCCCGTGCCACCCTGCTCCTGGGGAAGCTCAGGTCTTGACAGTGTAGCCCAGCAGAGGTAGGTGGAGAAGATTCTCACCTCCAGACATCAAATACTCCCGAAGCACAGGCATCCGGAAGTTGCCAGCCAATGTGGCCAGGTAGGGCCTTATGCCAGGGAATTTCTTGCTCACTTCAGTGGCCTCTGTGCTGAAGTTGCAGAAGGCCCCCAGGCCCATGATGCCATGTGGGTGGTACCCAAAGATGTAGTTCCTGGTAGTCAGCAGGTTGTGTGTCTTCACCAGCTACAAGGAAAACCATGGATCAGAGGCAAATGGCCAGGAAAGGGGTACTGAAGCCCACCTGGAAGGTGGGGAAGGAACTCAACATGCCATGTCCCCTGGGACTCTGTGAGCCCAAAGGAATGCAGTGGCTCTCCAAACCTAACCTTGGACTCTTATCATGGGGCCCACAGTACTGGTGACTGGCAGTGACTGGCAGCCACTGGGCTGTGACTCCTCAGTCCCCTTATTTCCCAACCACACACTGAGTCCATTTATTCATACTTCAGAATCTCTTGCATTCCCTCTGTCTGGGTTTACCTTCCTCACCACAGCTAGAGTGATGGATCTAAATCCCAAATTTAACATAGCCCACTCCAAATAAAGAGTAGTGCCCAGCCTCTATCAGGGCAGAGGCCAAGATCCCTAGTTTGGCAAGAGGGCCTTGATTGCAATTCTGCCCCCTGTGGGCCTCCCTGGTCTGAGAGCCCCTTGGAGGGAGGATCTGTCTGGACTCTGCACCCTGAGGGCTCTTCAGTGGTTTACAGGACAACCCCATACAGCCCACCTCCCACTCCTCCAGTGCAAACAAGGGATAGTGCAGGTGGCCTGATGGAACATGACAGGGTGGAGAGTGTGAGGGGAGGGACAGTAAGGGGATTTTGTTTATCACATATCACTTTCTGATTAGAAAAATAATAAACAGATTTTTTTTAAATACAGGAAAGTAAAAAGAAAATCAAACTGCTCTGACATGCTGGGTTCTTTCTCAAAAACCACAATCTTGAGGTTGTAGTGTTGACAGCATTTTCCATCAAATAAACCCTAGTGATTTGTGCTTATCAGGGTCCCACAGCAACATCTCTTCTCACAACTGCATTCCTCTTCTTTGGCACAGCCATGCTGTACCTAACAGCACTGACTCAAATACCAGTTGATGGACATTTTTAAAGGGTCCATACACATTTTCCCTTTACAAACAAATACTTCAGCAAATACCTCATCTTTGTCCACATTTCTGATTGCTTTTGTAGGATAAACTTCCAGAAATACAATTCCTGGGCCAAAGGGTATGAACACATTGATCTTTTGGGCTACCCTGCCTAGAAGAGGTGGCACCCACATTCCTGCCTGAGTGCTTGACAGTGTCCCTTTGCTACACTGGTGTTGGCTGGAAGCAGAGTCCCTTGTCACACTGGCAGAACATGTAAGAGCAAATTTTTCACAAATGCAGATTTAAGAACCTTCTGGCTAAGTGAAGGTCCTCATCCTCGATTTTGGTGGTGGCGGTGGTATGTATGTGGCGATGACAGCTTCAGAAAATGGAAATCCAAATCTTCGAGAGACAGAGGCTTGGGTTGGTGGAGTGGTTCAAGCGGTAGAATGTCTGCCTAGCAAGCGTGAGGTCGAGTTCAAGCCCCAGTACCAATAAAAAAAAAAAGGCTGGCGGTATGGCTCAAGTGGTAGAGCACCTGCCTAGCAAGAGCAAAGTCCAGTTTCACCAAACAAAACAAAAGAGACAGAGGTCTGAGCAGACAGTTTAGGGTGGCAGACACCATTCCCAGCTCTGTCACTGTCAGTATGTATAAATGTGAGCCAGATTCCCTAGTGACACCCCGTTCACAGGACACTTATACTCCCTCTCTCACTCTGCCTTTGACAAGCAGATCAAAGCTGCTTGAAAAGACCAACCATCAAGCTGCCCACCAGATGATGGGAAAACCAGTGGCTCCCCCACGGCCAGAGGTAGAAGCAGAGAGAGATCTACAAGAAGCAGGGCACACCTGAAGTTGCTTCCCATGGAAAAAGCAGGCACTGGGAAAAGAGCCCAGGTGCAGTACCAGAAACTTGCTCCTAACTGATGACTGGGCCCAGGCCTGTCCCAGTCACCAAGGAGCCAAAACACAGAATGAATCAGAGAGCCCTGTAGCTCCAGGTCATTCCTTGGACACAGGGCCTAGAGAAAGTTGCTGCTGCCTTTCCTGAGGAGGTCACAGAGAATCATCTTCACATTGAACAAGACTACTCAGCTATACTTTCCCGCTGGCCACTGTGATGGAGATGAGTCACTTGGTGGGAGCCTACTTGGCCCTTTGAATCATTTCCTCCCTCCCCAAGGCTCTATCTGATGGGCCACAGGGTTCAATGAGGACGAGGGTGCACCATACAGATTAATGGCCCTTGGTGCCATACCCAGAAGAATGCAGACATCTGATACAGCTTTGATCTATCTTCCTGTCACACTCCCCTCCCCCAGCGCTGAATGGGGGAGAATGTCCATTCTGGAGGAAGGAGGAAGGGCACTGCTGCTGAGGGCTCTGTTGACAAGCCTGCCCTCATGGCAAAGTCTCAACCCAACAGGGCACCCAGGGCAGGCCTGCTAGCTAATATGAGCCTGGGATACATTCCTGGCAGGTCACTCTGCACGCTCTGCTCCCAGAACAGGAAAGGTGCTCAGATAGGCTTGTCCTCCCTAGTCTGACACAGAAGGAGACACTCAAGGAGCAAAGGCTCACTGAGGCTCACACAGGGCATGGCAGCAGAGGGATGCAAGAGTGCAGGAGTAGAATCCATCTGTGAGGCACGCAGCCCTGACTCCTACACTAGTCCTGCCACTGACATGCTTTGTAACTCTGTTTGGGATAGTCCCCCTTCTCTGGGCCTTAGTCTGTCCATCTGTGAAATGAGGCAGTTGGACAGAAAGATGATTTGAAGCTCAGAGAGTCTTTCTAAGTCTCCTCTTCAAAGGTCCTGCCTATACCTCAGGGAGCGGTTACCCAGGGCAGTGCCCACTCCTCTTCTAGGTGGCTGGAATTCTGGTGTCTGCCGCTGATGGCTAAGCCTCACCTATGCCAGGAGAAGCATGTTCTCTGAGCCAGCTGGACTTCTCTGATGGCAAAGAGAGAAAAGTCCTCCTCCCCAGCAAACAAGGGCTGGGGTGGTATAGCTATAAATTCTCACTACATAACTGGTGGCAGGGGGCCAGGAAAAGGTGAGGGAATGGGAGGCTCACACACAAATCACCAAGGTCAAATCCTCCCTTGGCAGGGGAGCGAAGGGACAGGGCAGAGCAGAGCCCAGCATATGCCTCGGGTTGAGGCTCAATGTCCCAGGTTTTGTCAGGGCCAGCTTGGCTTTGGTCCTGGCCCCCAGGGGCCATCACAAGGCAGCTCACCTTGTGAACTTGTGTTTCGATTCTCTTGGCAGGGTGAAGATCAGGTGGGAAGGTCTGAACAAGGCTCATCAAGTCACCCTGTTCTGGGTACAGGGGGCTACCAGAATCCAGGAGGCTTCCTGGGGATGAGGCCACAGTGGTGAGAGAGCACTAGAGCCTGACCCCGAGGCAGGAAAGAGAGAGCAGAGCCAATCATTGTCTACCTTGACTGTAATTTATCGCCTTTCGTCATGTAACAGCTCTATTTTACAAATGAGGCAAGTGACAGTGAACTTGAGCAAGTCTGTGCAGAAAGTGACAAAGTCTAGCATGACTCATTAGACATTGAGTCCACCCCAGGGACAGGGACCAGGGTTCACTCTTCTAGGCCCACATGCTCAGCAGAGTCCAGCACTGACGATCAGCAACAATGGCCAGTCAGTGAATGGAGTGAGAGAACAGGAACGTACACTCAGGTCTCCAAAAGCCAAGGGAAAAGAGGGAGACCCAGGAAACAGAAAGCCACCCAGTGGGAAAACCTGGAAATGAGTCCCTCCCAGAGGAACAGGTGGTAGAAATTCTGGAGGCCTGGATTCCAGTGCTACCGCTGCCATGTACCTGCTATGTGGTCTGGACGAGACCTTGGCTCTCTTTGGAACTTAGCTGCCTCACCTCCAAAATGAAAGGGTTGGTCCCATGCTGCAAATCCCTCCAGCCACAGCAGTCTCAGGTCATTTACAGCCAGAGATGTGGGAGTCAGGACAGGAGGGAAAGGGAACCTGACTCCGAGGGACAGGAAGGTCCTGGGCAAGAAGAGGTAAGCAGAGGGAGCCAGCCTCTGGGTGTGCTGGGGCTGGGTGCTGAGGGAACAGGCTGGACAGGTCTTTCCCCTGGGCGACCAACCTCCAGGATTGTGCCAGGACGATCCACAATCCTCCAGCATCACCCATGTGCATCAGGACCAGCTGGCTCTGCCTCACCACCAAGCTTGCAGACCAGGCAGGGGACAGATGAAGCCAAGATGGAGCCACCATTATTCTTGTCAGAGGTTACTCCAGCAAAGATGGGTACTCAAAGGAACAGAGTGGAGGCCCTTGGGCAGCCAAAAGTGCCACAGGAAGGAAACCTAGAGACCACCTTGGTCTAATCTTGCTTAACAGGCATCTACTGTGTCCTGGAAGACAGGGTCCTAGCCAGGGTCATGCTAGGCTTGTCCTATTCCCATTCTTCCAGCCCATGGGCAGTTCCTGCCCAGATGACTTCCCACAACTCTGCTGCACAGAGGTAGCACTCTGGGCTGGACAGAGCCCAGGCTTTGAGGCAGGACAGCAACTGGAATTTCAGCTCAGTTGCTCACTAGCTTTACTTGGCTTTGCTACTCTCTGACCCTCAGGCTCCTCTTCTATAGAAAATGGTAAAGTTAATGGCTGTCTTCCAGGGTAAGTGAGGGAAAGTTGGCTCCTAATAAATAGGTTCTCCCTTTCCTTTCTCCTCCTTACCAGCTGTTCTCCCTCACTTCTCAAGTTCAGGGCTTATGCTCTCAGGGCCACACATCCTTGGAAGCAGTTTTAGACAGGCCCTTCCCAAGCCTCTCCTTCTTCCACTGCTCATCAAATTTCCTGGGTCTGTCTTCTCATGGTCATGACCCCAGTGGCTGGCTGAGAAGTGACAGTTCTATATGACCTTTGGAGGGATATAAAGCCTCTCACACCTATTGCATTCAGTTCTGATCCCAGTTCAGGCTAGAAGAACTTGGACTACCTTAGTATTGCACTTGATAATTATCTCCATTATAAGTTATGTCCTTAATATTCCCAGAAGGGCAGGCAAACAATAACCATAATACTTGCTATTCTAGCTGCTCCTTACATCACTCAGGCAATCAGTAAACAAGCCTTGTTTCCCTAACAAATAAGAAATCAGTGATGATTATGTTCTCTTTTTGCCTTGTCTGCCAGGAAGCTCAGAGCTGAATGTGAAGTTCAACTGCTACAACTTTGTTTCCCCTTATGACTGAAATACCAGCATTCTGCTCCTGAGTATTTACTGGGTATGCCATTATGTATCCAAATCTCACATAAAAGGTGGGTATCATATGAACAGACACTCATAGTGGGAGATGTTGCACAGTGCCTGCATGGGCACATGGCCACTGAGCAAGAAGACACAAGTCCTTACCTGGATGGGAAAGTAGTCTCGAAAGTAGCGCCACACAGCCCAGTTCCGTACCCACTGTGATCTCCTGCCGCCTGCCAGGGAACAAAACACAGTGTTGGGAAGAAGTAGGGGTGGGGAACATTTGGGCAAGGCAGACAAGATAGAGTTGGTCTGAACCCCTGTGGGAGGTGCCTATCAATCCACACAATATCTTTGGCCCTGCCCAGTGGATTCCCTCATGTTATGAAAACCTTATTAGACAGTGAGGAGTTCTGAGCCATTCCCCCAACCCAAAGTCACACACCACCTAAACCCCTAAAGAGCACACCACAAAGCAGGTGTTACATAAGAAGAGGGAGTGCCCAGGAGGAGGAGGAGCTGCAGCTGCCGAGTGGGGCGAAGAGAGGGAGTGGGCGAGAGACCCAGGGGGGCACTTACCTTTCTTGGGTGTGTTCCAGTCAAATGCCAGCCAGGTGAAGTAGAGCACAGCAATGAGCCAGCAGTCAGTGCAAAAGGTGTACATGAGGATGACACTGCAGGCCACTCCTGAGGGGAGGCAGATGGCCAGTCAGTCCTGTCCTCCCAGTGTTTCCAGTGACAATAAGCTAAGCCTAGCTAGAGGGCTCCCATTCCAGGCCCTGGAAGCCCCCAGCTCAGGGAGGAGCAGACCCACAGACTGAGCCTCATCTCCTAGACCCTGGCAGGCTTGCACTGAGGCACAGCAGGCTCTGTGGTCTAGGCAGCAGCACTGGAGGAGGGAGTCTTCAGCTTTTTGTGAAGCTGTGCCTCCTTGCTGCCCAGAAAAGTCACTGTGGACAAGGGAAAGAAATATCTTCCAAGTGCCTCCCTCTACTTCTTAAGACTGGGCTGAACCACTGTGTCCAATGAGGCAAGGTGACTATTACCTTTTAGAGATGAGATGAAAACTCTGAGGCTAAGGAGGAGGGCGACTTGCCCAAAGTCCCTTGGCAGGACAGTGGCAGAGCCAGGATTTTTTTTTTTCTTTTTTTTCATTTTTCTTTTATTATTCATATGTGCATACAAGGCTTGGTTCATTTCTCCCCCCTGCCCCCACCCCCTCCCTTACCACCCACTCCGCTCCCTCCCTCTCCCCCTACCCAGAGCCAGGATTTAAACTGGTGTCTGACTCTGAAGTCCATTTTCTCCGCTAGGCTTTAGAAGTTCACCAAAGATGAGAAGTCTCAGACTGTCACTAAAGAGATGCCATAGGGGACTCCAGCCCCAGGAGGAGAGTTAACCTTCCAACACAATAGAAGGCCAGACAGGCTCAGGTCAAAGGCATAGCCCATTAGCTTGCCTCCCCTCAAATTCCAGCAGAACTATTGGAAGACTCCCCTGACACTACTTTCTACTTGGTCTCTATGTTCTGGGCCTGCCTGTCATAGGCTGAATGACCTGGCACCAGTGGGAAGGAGAGCTGGTACCAACCTGGTCCATCTTGTGGCTAGCCCCTAGACATGGGGTTGCCTGGCCCAGGGATTCACTGCCTTCTTTTCCCACCATGCTGAGCCTTCTCTGAGTCCCCATGGGAGAGTATAGGTCCAGATTCAGACTCTGTGAGCCTAAGGGCAGGAAATGGTGGCCCTTGTCATCCCCAATCCAGTCTTGTACGAGAGTCCTGAGCCAGTCTCCTTCCTGTGTAGCTAAAATGAGGGAACAGCTACTCTGTATACTCTGTATACAGAGTGACCAGGCATCTGCTTCTCAGGACAGTGTAGGAGTGACATTGTGCATAGGGAAGGTGAGTCTTGGGATAGATCTGCAGCCCACAGCCCCTGTTACAGGCAAATGTGGCATTCCTAAGGCAGTTGGGCAAAGAGCCACATCTCTGTTTAGGTTGCTTACAAAGTCACATTGTTCAGCAGTTTGCCTCAGGTTCCCTTCCTTGGCCTTGGAAAGGCTCCACTGTGGCCCCAGAGTCAACAAGGATCCAAGCCTCTGTAGCTGCTGGGTGAGTACAGCAGGTGGGCCTCAGCAGGGCCTGTGTGGCTAAGACTTGGGCGACCAGTGTTGCAAACCCTGGCTCTCTTGAGGGGTAGGGGAGACAGAGGAGCTGAACCCCGGGTCCCACTGCCTGGAGGGCTGCTATCTCTAGAAAGGAAAGTGTCCCCACCAACCTGTCCTTACTCTATGGCTAAGGTGCTCTGGACAGAGGAGAGGAAAACTGGCAGGAGCATAGCCCAATGGCATTGTAGTCCCAGCACCTCTCAGATGGGGGCTACCTTCCCTGCACAGCATCATCACCTCTCTCACCATCCACCTTGCTGTCAGACTCCCTCCAGCAAACAGCTATCAGCTCCTGAGCTCTTTGGGACCTGAAACCGGGTCAGAGCCCCAGACACCACCACAGAAAGGTTTATTGAACAAAACTGTGAGCTAACCTACCAAATGATGCTTTCTCAGAGCTTTATCCTTGTCCTCTCTACAATAGGCTGCTCCCTGTCCCACATTCTTAGGTCATAGAGCTGCAGTAGGAACCAATGCCACTAGGCCCCTGAGACATAAGCACTGTGCTTATAAGAGCTCACTCACTCCACAACCTCACAGATTGGTGGCCACAAAGCAGCTCATGTTGCAAAACTCTGGCGACTAAGGCCCATGGTGCAGGGCAGTCTGTAGGTGCTCAGTGGCAGCGGAGGCTGCAGTAGGGCCAAAGAGTGGGGACTCTGAGACCAAACAGACCTGGAGCCTTGGCATGGCCATGTACTGGCCACTGCTCAGGCCTGAGCCTCCACTTCTTTATGGGGTGTTGGGAAGATGAGATGTTTGAACTTGACACATAGCCTGGCACAGAGTAAGTCTATGGACTTGGATGAGACAGCAATTAACATCTAAATTTTCACTTATCGTCTCAGGGAAATTTAGCATTTCCTTCAGTTCTAAATGTAACAAACCCCAGAAGTATTAGCAGTGCCTGCTGACATGTCACCAATAGAAGGACAAAGATATTTTCCTATCACATTATAAGTAGTTGCAATATCTTGAAAACTCATTCCTTTTCATAACTACTTATGAATTATAGTTGGGAGGAAAAGGTAGGAGGATTGAGATCTGAGGCTGGCCCTGGGAAGAAAACATCACCCTATCTGAAAAATAATTAAAGCAAAAAAAAAGGACTGGGGAGCATGCTTCAAGTGGTAGAGCAACCTGCCTAGCAAGCATGAAGCCCTTAGTTCAAACCCCAGGTACCAGTGGGCATGTGGCTCACCCTCTAATACTAGCTACTCAGGAGGGAGAGATCAGGAGGATCATGGTTGGAGGCTAGCCTGGGCAAAAAGTCTGTGAGACCTTATCTCAACCAATAAAAAGCTGGGTGCTGTGGCATGTGCCTGTCATCCTGCTATGCAGGAAGTTAAACAGGATTGTAGTCCAGGACAGCCTGGTTCAGGAGTGAAACAATATAAAATAGCAAAAGCAAAAAGGACTGGGGGTGTGGCTCAAGTGCTAGCACCTGCCTGGCAAGCACAAGGTCCTGAGTTCAAACCCAGTATCACCAAAGGGAAAAATAAAGTACTGCCAAGAGATAGAGAGAGACAGAGAGAGAGATGAGAGGGAAGGGAAGGGAGGGGAGGGGAGGGGAGGAGGGAGGATAAATTCAGTAATTATTACAGCTGCTGGTAGATTTTCTTAATGTAACAATAAAAAAGTACATGAATTACTACATGTCTAACTGGATCATATTTAAACATCACTGTTTTCCTCTGAAATCCAATGTACCTTGTATTACACATTTAAAAGCACAGAGAAGGTTCATAGGCTTAACCAGAAATACCAGAGGGCTCTATGCCACAAAAATGGTAAAACTCTCTGGTCCAGAGGGAATCCAAAGGAGGACACAGCAGCTTTTGCAATACAGGGTGAGCCTCTGCCAGCAGGCGTGGGACACAATGGGAGGGAGCTATTGGGGCTTCTCAGGGTAGTAATTAACAGCAGCTTTGTAGACCTGCCCATCCACCCAGGCCAGGCTCCCACCTACACAAAGGTGTTGAAAGACATGCTTGGGCCGGTTTCTGGGCTGTGGTTGGGCCTGATTGATTGCTAACTACAGCTTGGAGCCAGTTCCCATCATGTGCTGTGTGGATCGTGGATCAGGGCTGCACAAGGTACTTAAGCCCTGACCTACCAAGATAGGGAGAGTGGGGGCTTCTGAATGCAAATGGGGACAAAGGGAGCTGGTGTAACAGTCTAGGCAGGGGTCTGGGAGGCTGGAGCCCCTGGGGTCTTGTCCTGGTTCCTTTGCTTTCTTCTCACATGGCCCTGTGCAAGATCTGCTCCCACTTGACCCTGCTTCCTTTCTGAACAAGGAGGGGGTTACACAGTACTCTCTACTCCAGAACTCTAGTAAGTGGCCAAATGCAAGCCAGGCTCAGGTTTGAGCCCTGAGGAAGTCAGTTTAATTTGCTCTATTCCCCAAACCATTGTTTCTTTATCTTTCTGAGGTCATATGTCCCTGTAAGAGTCTGAGGACAGCTGTGGTCTTCCTCCCCATAGAAATGTGTGCATGGTCTGGCATCTAATTATAGGGGTTCAAGGACTTTCCCAAAGCCCACTCTTGGGCGTAACAAGGAAGACTGGCTGTTTCATCCCAAGTCAGCTAATTGCACCAAGAGAAAGCACCAGGCTTCCACTCAACCCCCAACTTGCTACTTAATGAGTGTCACAGCCTCCAGTCATCACCATGCTCATCACGGAGCATCTGAGTTTCCATTCCCTCACGTGTGAAGTGGTAACTGAAGGAAAGACATGTCCAGGGCCTGGCACACTGTGGGATCTGTTCCATCCTCTGCAGTGTGGGCTCAGAATGCCCACATCTGCTGTGAGGATGGGGCTCACTGACAAGATAACACCCACAGTCCCTCTAGACTGGACAGCCATAAGAGTGGGACACACTGAGGGCCTCACCACAGGCACCAGGACACATTCTGATGCTGTGCAGCAGGCTTGATTGTGCTGATGTGCGACCTGCTGTGCTGTGTGGACAGGGCCTGGAAAGGAGCAGCTTCCAAGAGAGCAGGGCCCTGCTCTCCTCTCAGCTGTCCTGCCCGTGGCCTCGATGGCAACCTAGGCACCTAGCCAGAAATGTGGAAGCAGCAACCATAGCTGCTGCGAGCAGCATTGAGCATCAGAGGCAGCAACTGGGGAGTGTGTTAGGCATGGCGATGAGGGCTGGGGTCTCAGGCACTTCCCAACCACAGCTCTCCTGTAATCAGTGCCACCACCACTAAGCCCAGTGCAGCTACTCTCCTCCCTAATCTTCAGTCTCCATGGTTTCTACAGATGCCATATGAAGTAGGCAGCACTGCCCTCACATTCAAAAAGAGAACGTTCAGAACTCAAGCAGCCTGTGTAAGGTCACAAAGCCTACAGCAGTCAGGCCTCAAACCTGGCATCACATACCTAAAACAAAGCTACATACTTGCTGGAAAGTGTTTGTTGGTGGGCAGGGAGGTACTACAGGAAGGGCACAGGCTTTGGGAGTTCCACAGACTCAGATTCAAATGACATTGAACAGTTACCTACTTCTCTGAGGTTTAGGGTTTCCCATCTGTAAAACAGGACCACACCACCACCACCTCCCATGGACTCATGGAGGCTTCAGGAATGCTAGGGGTGAAGCATGTGACCAGGAACCCAAAGTGAGAGGAGGCCATAGAGGGGATGCTTCTGCTGTAACCTCTGCTGGGGATATCCACCCATCCACCCTCCCCACTAGCCACACTTACCCAGCACAAGGAAGGACAGGACCCACTGTAGTACAGAGATGACCTGGAGCTGTTTTTCTACCTTGGACCTGTTGAGCCAGGTGACGGAGAAGATGTCCTGGAGGGCGGAGAGGATGCTGGAGCCAGCGCCTACAGAAGAGGGAGATGTTAGCCTGCTACCACCCTTCCAGCTTCAGGGAGCCCCAACACTATCCCACCTCCCATACGTACCCTTCCTACATACGACGACTGGGACACAGAATCAGGCGTACCTGCATTCGGAGTCTCGCCCTGCTGTCAAATGGCTTTATAATGGCTATTTACATGTTCTCCTGTGCCCCAGTTTCTATATTTGCACAATAAGCATGGTGTTCTCTCATAGAGTCATTTGGAGACCACATGTGGGATTTAAAGAGGTTAGCCCCAAAGTTGGGCCTTGTGGAGGCCCTCCACAATGGCCAGTTCTCCACCCCAAACTCCTACCCCCACCCTTTATCTGCATCTAGCACAAATATTGAATCTTTGCTATCTGTGTCAGTGAGGCAAAGGACAGAGGTTCAATATCCAGTTTACAATGTTTTCTTTCTCTTCTCCAAATGTACTTTGAGTGTCCCCAATCTCTGTCCCACTCCCTTGATCCTGAGACTGATGCCCTACTTCCAAGGCATTGAGTCTCTTACTCTTACCCCAACACTACCACCCACACCACTATCACTGCAGAGAGATGTACATTCAGCATCAGCACAGTGCCCAAAGCTTGGGCCCACACAGGAGCCAGATGGGAGCCTTCACTTCCCCAAAGGGCCCAGTGGCCAGAGAGCTTCAGGCAGCCTGGAGGACATGGAGGGCTGTAAATATGTTTGCTACTAAGCAAGTACCAAAGCCTAGAGGTCAGGACAAGATGTGCCCACTTAACTGGCTCTGTGGCTGTGCCCCCAGGATGATGCCCTGCAGGCTCTGGGGAAAAGCACAGGTGAAGCCCTTGTCCATGTCACTCCTTCCAGTCCTAGACTAAAGAAGGGCCACCTCACACTCCTCCCTGCCGAGCTCAGCTGAGTACCTTTGCTCAGCACATCTTCACTAAGTGCCTATTGTGTGTTGCCCAAACATTCCTTCCCACCACCCACTGTGTGAGGCCCAGCACAGCTGGCTCAGTCTCAGCTTCATCCTTAAGGTTCTCCTGATATTTCATCCTGCCTACAAGCTGCAAGTGCCTGGCGATGGAGGAATGTAGGCACTCACACTCAAGCCTTTACTTTCCCTCAAAATCTGCAGAGTAAAAAGGCCACAGCACAGTTCCTACCTCTTCTCAGCTGAAAGTTCACAGTTGTTTTGACTTTTAGGAGGTAGGCAGGAAATGCCAGGCATCCAGGTAGACACACCTGTCCTGCCCCCTTTTACCTGCTCCAATGGATTAGAGGGAGGGGGCTTAGTAACATATCACAGAGTCAGAGCCTTGGTTCCACACCATGTGACCCCAGGCAAGAGCACAGTGCTCTCTGCCAGCACCTGGCCCAGGGTTACCAGGCAGTAGGTGGCAAAGTAGGAACCCAGAATTTTTGCCCCTGTTCCAGCTGTTTTCCTTTTCCCCATAGCAGTTGCTCAATGCAAAGGGCTCTGACCAAGGGACACAACAGGTCCAATGGTGGGCTGTACTCCGGACTGGTGCATCCAGCAATAGGACAGATGACTTAGTCACAATCATATAGTCTTGAAGTCTCATGACTTTTTACCCTGGCCTAAGTGTGGGGAAAGGCCTGAGTGAGTATATTCAGAAAGGAAGTGAACCAAAGCCCAGACCTGAACCCCTGATCCAAAGCAGGCTGGCCATATAACCTGACAACAGCAAGTTAAAGGTAGGTGAATCCCTACTGCACATGGGGAGGCTGGGTGACTTCCTGGTTAGGGAACATAAGGTGCTCAAGCACTTTCCTGCTCAGAGCAAGGTCTGGGAAAATGGCATCGGCATCACCTGTGAGCTGGTTAGAGCTGCCGGGATCTACTGAGGCAAATCTGTGTTTTAACCAGACCTTTGAGAAATTTGAGAAACACGACCATAAGTGCTTCAGTCCAAAGTCTCAGGTATAGCCAGATGGGTGAAGAGAGAGAGTTGGAGCCACCACTGTCTGCTGGGCAGGAAACAAAGGCAAGGGAGGGCAGGACATGGGTCATATGCTTCCCACTGTGGACAGGCCCTCAGGGCCAGTGGCTGGAGGAGCAGTAAAGGAAAGGCATGAGGGGCAGCATCTTATCTAACCCCCTGCCTTCCGGTTAGGGCCAGTCAACTGTAGCTGGTGGCAGCACTCCCACTTGGGGACAAGCAGAAATTCCTCACTGGTGACATACACTACCCAAAACAACTGAGAAAACCTAAAATTCTTCCTCTGCCTTATCCATAGCTCCCAGCTAAGTTTCTTAGACTCAGAGGGCAGAAACCACAGCCCATTTTCTTCAAACTTTTCCCCATTATACAGACAGAAACACAGGGGCTTGGGGATTATCCCAAGTCCTACATGGAGGCAGGCCAGACAGTCTCTCCCATTGGCTCATTCTGTTCTCATGCTGCCTTACCCCAACTACTGCTCAGTGCTCATTCTGCCAACCAGATGGGAATGCAGTCTGGGGAGAAGTGCAGGCATTTCTGTGGGAGGCAGCGGTGGCTTCCTGGAGAGGGGGAGGGCTCCATACAGTTCCCAGCCAGACCCACTCACCCAGGGGGGCTGGCCTGTCTATGGATGCTGAGCCCTAGGCCCCAGTGGAAGCCCCCAATGGGCCTAAGAAATAGTGAGTCACTGCTCCTTCCTGCTTTGTCTACCTCATGATGGACAATGAAATTCAGTGTGTCCTTAAAAATCAGGTCAGGGTAGCATGTCCTTCAGGAAGCCGCTAGAAAAAAGAGGATCTTTCCTTCTCTGGCTAACTCTAAGGACCATGCAAGCCTGGGAACTGTCAGGGGCTGTCATCTTAGAGAGATGATCTGTGTGAAGATAAAAGCCAGGAGGGACTAAGACAAGAGAGGAACACCTCCTCTGGGATCCCACGGCTCCTTCCTTTGTGTTCTCTGCCCAGTACAAGTTGATTCTCACATGAAACCAGAAACTACCTGAGGCCAGGCCTGACCTGTATCTTGTTCACATCTGGGTCCCTATTGTCCTGCCAGAGCCTGGTCTGGAGCAGGTGCTCAGAAAGGTTTGCTGAGTGAAAGGAGACCACTGTTCTTGCTCTTCCTCAGGCCCTGTGGGCTCCCTCCATGTAGGGCTGAGTGACAGGTATGACACCCAATAGGCCCATGAGACTTTGGGTCTCCAGAGCCCCTGTACAGGCACTCAGACTCCTGTGAGTTGGGCATTACCACCCCCACTTTTGATGGTAACACATTGTCAAGGTCAGTCAGCCACAGAGTGGCACAGCTGGACTCCATTCAGGCCCAACTTACAGGCCTATGTCTGCCTCTGTGCTGCAGATGTCCCCAGGTTCCTTTTCTTTTTTTTCCCCACAATGAAGCTGGAGGAGGCTGAGGAGACAGGGAAAATGAATGCCCTATTTTCCTTCAGAGGGTGGCCAGGAACAGGCTTCATAAGAGCAGATAAAGATGCAGCAGGTCTTAGGGCTCCAGTTCCAGCTCTGCCATCAGCTCCTGTGTCAACCTGGCCAAATCACTGCATCTCTCTGGGCTTCAGTTCCCCCATTTATAAGACATGACAGAGAGATGGACTCCATGATCTCTGGTGCCACCTCCTGAGGCTCCTGGCCAGAATTTGGGATCTAAAGCTCACTACCTAGTAGCATCTCTGGGACAGTCACCTGGGCAGCTGTAAGTCAGGGTTCAGCTGAAAACTCCCAAGCTACTGCCAGCCCTTGCCACCCAGCTGCTATATTTCCTCTGCCCTGGCTGTGGCTGGGAGGGGTCCAGCAGAAGCTGATAGGGCTGCCATGTCATTTTCAAATGCCACAACCTTCACACCCAGCCTGCCTGGGTGAGGCAGCAGGGAGCCTTAGTGTCCAGCCAAATCCAGCTCCAGGCTGCTCCCTCCTCACTGTGCCCAGCCTCCCTGGGCACACAGTGCTCTCTCTGCTTCCTCTCCCAGGATCAATCCCACTGCAGCCATGTGTATTTACTTGGTTGCCCCCTCTGCCAGTGACTTGGGGCACTAGAGTTCACACCTGATTCATCTGAATGCTCAGAGTCAGGCATACAGCTCAAAGCCTATTGGGAGTTTACTGCATGGCTGCATAGTAAATTCATCAGTCCAGAGGTAGGGAAGGCCTGGGTGCCCAAGTTGGACCGGGATGCCTGCAGGCATCCAAGCCAGCCCCATCACTTAGAACCCCAGGAGCTTGCCTTGGTTTCTATAAGCACAAATGCTTCCATCTATGAAGGGAGAGGAACCCACCTACTTACAGATATCCACCCCCCCACCATGGGAAGAAACAAGTCAGGCCCTAAAGCAAGTTGACTAATCCTATGAAGAAAAAGCACCCAGCAAACAATTCAGAGAGTTGCTCCTGGGTACTGTTCATTTTCTCCTCCACTCGGGGAGGGCAGAAGAAGGAGAGATGCCAGAGAGACCCTGAGCAGCTTTTTTACCATCCAGAGAGCAATCCCCTCCCCCCTTAGTCTATATGGCATGCCACTGTCCCACAGCATACCCTGGGAAGGTAGACAAGGCAGGGATTAGCAACCCCATTTCAAGAGGAGGAAACTGAGGTAAGTGAAGCCAAAAGAGGTTAAACCACTTGATTGCAAGGCAAGTATTTGGGCTCCCAGTCCCTCAACATTTCTACAATGCCATGTCACTGAGGGCTGGTCCCTGCTAAACATGGCAGTCCACACCTAAGCCTCAGGAAGACACCAGCTAAGAAGGGTTGCCTGCTCTGTCCCACACCATGTCCTATGCACAGGGATAGTCCTGTGCAGATTGGCTGTGTGAAGAGCATGAACCTCACCCAGATATGAAGCACCTGCTGCCAGGTGACACAACAGCTGCCTGCGGCAGTGGACCAAACAGCCATAGTCACAGGACCAGCAAAGGCTGGGGTGAGAGCAGGTGTGTTGCAACCTCCCTGACCAGTATTTAATATCAGAGTGACCAGGGAGTCTGCACCCCAAGGCCAATGCAACCAGAGTTTCCTGGGCTTCCTTACACACT